GCCGGAAAAGCTCCGTGCGCTGCAAAGTCAGACTTGTTCCCGAGGAGCGGCGTGCCCGGAGCGGCTCCAGTGTCACCTGTCAGTGCCGGGGACGCCTCCAGGGATTTGGGATCGAGTTACGGGAGAGGAACCGCCGCTGGAATTGGCCGCGGCTCCCGGCCCGCCGCATTCCAGCTAAAAAAAAAGGCGCCGGGCTTTGATCTCCCGCTCCGTCTGCACCGCACGGAGCCGGCGGGAGGGGCCCGAGCTGACAATTCCCTGCTCCAGCCTCCTCCCAGCGCCGGGAATCAAAGGCGAGGAGGGGCGGGCACGGCGGGATGAAAGCGGAGCCGGAGCCTGGCACGGGGGCAGAGCCCACAAGGAGCCGGTGCCGGGCTCCTCTCGGGCAGGGAAGGCTCCAGGAGCCCGGCCCGGCTGGGAGAAGGGAATGGGAATGAGCCTGGAGATGTTTCTGCGCTGCCCGGCTTTGAACGGCGGCCAGGAGGGCTGGGAAACTGCGCGTCCGTGGCCTGGGAACGGGCTGGGACCGGCCCCGGTCCGGCCCGCGGCTCCGGGGATGGGCCCCGAGAGGGAACCGGGCTCCCGGGAGCCTCGCGTGGAGCCAGGGACGGCTCCAGGCAGGAGCCTCCTCACAGGGGCGTTCCCGGGCCAAAAGGGGCAAACCCGGGTCAGGGATCTGCCCCCGCGGCTGCTCCCTGAACAGGGAGACTCCAGAGGCCGGGAGCAGCTGGGATGGGATGGGAAAAATGGGATGGGATGGGATGGGATGGGATGGGATGGGATGGGATGGGATGGGATGGGATGGGATGGGATGGGATGGGATGGGATTCCCTGGCTCCCTCCCGGGATTCCTGCACCGCCCTGGGCAAACCCACTCCCCCCTTTGTGCTTTGTTCCCATCCTGGTTTCTCTGGGATCATCCCTCCCTCTGCAGCCTCCCGCTCTCATTCCTCGGCTCAGATTTCCACAAAATTCCCGATTTTGCGGCTGACGAGGCGGAGATTCCACCTCCAAGCCCTCGGGGGCTGAGCTGTGGCTTCCCTGCGCTTCCCTGGCCGGAGGGGATGAACCGTGCGGGGTTTGGGGAGCGCGGAGCTGCCCTGGGCGCGTTCCAAGCCCCGCTCTCCCGAGCCTGCTCCTGCCTGCACACGGGAACGGGCGCGGGGAGCGGAGCCAGCCGCGGATTCCTTGGAATGCTGCCGCGGGATCCTGGGGGACGCCGCTGGCGCCGTGGGTGGCGGAGCCCCCGAACCCCCCCCGAGGGGCAGGAGGCGCTCAGGGGGGGCCGCTGCTCCCCCCCCCCCCCCCCCCCCCACCCCGCGGTTTGTCCCCCCCCCGCCCCAAATCCCGGGATTTGGGATCGTCGAGTCCAACTTGGCACAGCCTGACACCTCCACGGTGCTGGAGCCCGAGACATTCCCGCTCTTCCAGCCTTCCCTGGGGGATTTCACAATTCTTGGGAAAGTCGAAAGCGTCCCCGGTCCCTGACCGGGCCCCGGCCGGGCACGGGGTTAAACCGGGCTTAAATCGGAGTTTTAGGAAGCTCCTGCAGAGCTCCAAGGGGGTGGCAGCGACCGCACAGCCGCTGCCAGCTCCGCTCGCACCATCCCGGGCCCGGGGCGAGGCTCCTCCCGCAGAGCTGCGGGCAGCGCTGCGGAACCGCGGGGTCCAAAAAACACCGGGGCGGCTCCGCGCCACGCCCCGGTGTCTGCGGGATCCCGGTCCCTTCTGGCTCCCTGTCCCTGCGGGATCCCGGTCCCCGCGGGCTCCCGGTCCCTGCGGGCTCCCGGTGTCTGCGGGATCCCGGTGTCTGCGTGATCCCGGTCCCTTCTGGCTCCCGGTGTCTGCGGGATCCCGGTCCCTGTGGGATGTTGTGGGGTTTGGGTGAAACCCAGGGAATTGGGGCTGCCTGAGCGCCCACAGTGCAACAAAACCCTGTGTCCCGTGTCCCTGTGTCCCCGTGTCCCTCTGTCCCTGTGTCCGTGTGTCCCTGTCCCTGTGTCCCCGTGTCCCTGTGTCCTGTGTCCCTGGTCCATATGTCCCTGTGTCCCTGTCTCCCTGTGTCCGTGTCCCTCTGTCCCTGTGTCCCTGGTCCCGTGTCCCTGTACCAATGTCGCCATGTCCGTGTCCCTGTGTCCCTGTCGCTGTCCCTCTGTCCCTGTCCCACCCAGCCCATCCCGGCTGTGGCTCCGCAGCCCCATCCCAGCGGGAATTGCGGTTCCCCGGTGGCTCCCGGGATGGATTTGGAGCCGGGATGAGCAGCAGGAGGATAAAAGGATTTTCCTTTTTCCTGCCCAGCTAAATTTAAACCCGCGCCCCTTTCATGTGTCGGGGCCGTAACTGGAAGCAGCTGCGCTGGGAATTCTGCTCCAGAGGCGGCTCCCGCTCCTCCCGGCCCTTTGGAAGCCGGGATTTGCTGCTTCCCGAGCCCGGCACCTTCCCCGGCTCACCCTGCGGGGGCTGCGGGCCCGGAAGAGCGAGAGGAAGGGACGCCAAAAATATCCGGTAATTACAGAGGGACGGGGCTGGAGCCCGGCCGGGGCGGCTCCGGGCTCTGCTCCGCGGGAACCGGCAGGAGGAACATTCCGGGAAGGATCCTCCATGCCCCGAGCCCCAAAATCCCTGGAGCGGCTGCGGGGAATTCCTGGGGATGTCAGGAAAAGGAAAGAGCCCTGCGAGAGCGCTGGGCAGCCAAACACCTTTTTTGGTGGAAAAATCTCATCCTGAGACTCTTTTTCTGCAAATTCCTATTTCTTTCTTCTCCCACTGGGATGGAGCCCAGGAGCCACAGCAGCAATTCCCGTTTTCAGTTCGGAATGAGGATCCATCCAAGAATTCATCCCTTTATCCATCCATCCATCCATCCATCCATCCATCCATCCATCCATCATCCATCCTCCATCCATCCATCCATCCATCCATCCATCCATCCCTGGATCCATGGATCCCTCCCTCCCTCCCCCTCTGCAGTGACTCACAGGGAGCAGCAGCTCCCGGTGAATCACCAGGAAAACTTCCTGATCCAGCCGGATCCGCAGGCAGAGCTGCCCTGGAGAATCCCAGTGTCCAAGCTCTGCCCAAACAACTCCAGGGCTCCGTGCAGAGGAGCCTTTCCCGATGATCCCGGAACCTTGGAGTGGTTATTGGGATCGGGGTTTTGGGAACCCACTCAGGATCACCGGGTGATCCCGTGATGATTCCCTGATGATCCCCTGATGATTCCCTGATGATCCTCTGATTCCCCACCAACACCCCGGGAATGGCTCAAACACCCCCAGCACAGCTCAGGGATTGTCCCTCTCCCCGTGTCCTTCCCACGTCCCCAATATCCCTCTCTTTTTGCCCAGAAATCAGGGATAAATTCCCGCAAAAGGCACCCCGAGCTGCCGGAGTTCCCTGCCTTTGCCCGGGGAAGCAGCACCCTCTGCTGCCCTTCCCGGCATCCCAGTCCTGCTGGAAAACCTCGGGAAGCTTTTTTTCCCCTCACTGACACTTCCCGGGGAGTTTGGCTCATGAGGAACTCGCTGGAATTGCCCAAAATCCCAAATTTTGCTGGGATCCTGCTCCTTCCCAGCTGCTCCGGGTTCAGGCTGGGAGAAGCCTGCTCTCCCAGCGCCCTGCTCAGGAAAGGATGCGCCCAAACTGGGAGAACTGGGAGCAGCAGGCGGGGATGAGGGGCTGGAATGGGTTTTCCAGATAAAACAGGAGTGCTCCATCCCTGGAAGTGCCCAAGGACGGGGCTTGGGGCAGCCTGGGATGCTGGAAGGCGTCCTGCCCACGGCCGGGATTTAGGATCCCTGCACCCCAAACCGTCCCACGAGCTGTGATCCCAAATCCGGCTGCACCCGGGAAGGTTCTGGCTCCGCGGGCACTGCCGGGAGGTGCCAGGGCCCGCCGGGGGCTGAGCTGTGCTGCAGGAAAGCCGCAGGAGCCTTTGGGATCCGTGGTTTCCTGGGGATGTTTTCTTTTCCCTCTCCTGGCTCCCGTTTTTTTCTCCTGCACCTCTCTGGCGGTTTCGGGGCAGCGTGGGCCGGGCTGGGGAGGGCAGGAAAGGCTGAGATAATGACAGGGGATGATCCCAGGAATAGAGCTGCTCTTCCCTGGCCAGGAGAGGCTGTTCCAGCTCTTTCCGTGGGTTTGGGATGGAGGGGGGGGCTGGGGGCACAGGGATTGTCCCCATGGGCTGAGGGTGACAATAGGAACAGCTGAAGTCACTGCATGGATTTAGCTCCTGTTTCTTCCTGCTTCCCCCGGTTCCTTTTGGGAATACCAGCCCCTGCTCCCCACCACATCCTGCCCCAAAGCACCCCAGCAAAAGGGAGAAACCAGCAGGAATTCCAGGGGGAGAAGGATCAGGAGCCACAGAGCAGCTCCTGGAAATCCAGGGAGATCTCAGGGCATTTTCCTTCAGCAGCTTTCCCTCAGTGTGGGGAAAACTCCTCTGGTCCCAAGGACAGCCCCAGGTACCAGGGGAGGTTTAGGATGGGTATCAGGGAAAATTCCTTCATGGAAAAGGGGAAAATTCCATGTGGGGAAAACTCTTCTGGTCCCAAGGACAGCCTCAGGCGCCAGGGGAGGTATCAGGGAGAATTCCTTCATGGAAAAAGGGGAAAATTCCATGTGGGGAAAACTCTTCTGGTCCCAAGGACAGCCTCAGGGGCCAGGGGAGATATCAGGGAGAATTCCTTCATGGAAAAAGGGGAAAATTCCATGTGGGGAAAACTCTTCTGGTCCCAAGGACAGCCCCAGGGGCCAGGGGAGGTATCAGGGGAAATTCCTTCATGGAAAAGTCTCAAAGCACTGCAACTCTCCAGAGCAGGATATCTGGGAAAGACTCAACCCCGGGGCTGCTCCAGCCCCAATCCCAAAGCCCCCAGGCCTGGGGGGGTCAGAGCAGCCCCGGGGGTCTCAGAGCAGCCCCGGGGGTCTCAGAGCAGCCCCGGGGACACGGGGGAGCAGCTGCTGCTCCGGGGGCTGCAGGGGAAGCAGGAACACGGCCGGAGCAGGAACATGCTTTTATTGAGGAGTGGGTACAGGAGCAGCACGGCCTCCCCCCTGCCCGGGACATTCCTGGGAATCTGAGCTGGGGACAGGGACAGCAGAGTCACTAATGCCCACGAGGGCCACAGCCAGCAGCCAGGGGCTGGCGGGGTCCAGGAGAAAGGCAGGGAAGCAGGAGGGAAGTTTTCCAGTCAGGATGGGGCAGTGGTTAATGGGAATGGCTCCCACCGGCCCAGGAGTGCTTCATTTCACAGCCTGTTCTGTGAGGAATCACTGGGATGGAGGAAACCAGCACTGGGATCACTGAAATCAGCACTGGGATCACTGAAACCAGCACTGGGATGGAGGAAATCAGCACTGGGATGGAGGAAATCAGCACTGGGACCAGGGAATCCAGCACTGGGATCACTGAAACCAGCACTGGGATGGAGGAAACCAGCACTGGGATGGAGGAAATCAGCACTGGGATGGAGGAAATCAGCACTGGGATCACTGAAATCAGCACTGGGATCACTGAAACCAGCACTGGGACCAGGGAATTCAGCACTGGGACCAGGGAATTCAGCCCCTTCCCAGTGACACTGGAGCCACACAGGGATGGGTGGCATGAGGACAGTGGTTTTACTGGGAGGCCATTCTGGGATATTTCTGCTGATGGGAGGGAGGAATCAAAGCTATTTTTTTGCTCTGCCAGGGAATCCATCCCTCCCTGGAGCACAGCAGCCCAACAGCTCCTGGAATTGGTGCTGGGAGTTCCTGTGGCTCTTTGGAAAAGGCCAAAGTTTGGATTCCTTCAGCCTGGAGGGGGAAAAGACTCCAATAAAAAGGGACCTGCAATTCCAGGAAGGCTGCTCTGGGAAAAACATTTCCAGGGGAATACACTCAGCAGGTGGTTTATGTACAGGAACTCAGCAATTCCACAAGATACACACCAGGAAAAATGGGAATTCTACTCCAGAGGTGCTTCCAGCAGGGCTGTGGTGGCTCCAGGAGGGGGTGACAGCAACACCCAGTGACTCCCTCAGGTGCAGGAGGTGCAATTCTGGCTGTACAATAGGAACTAAGTGAAGATCTGCTGGATCCTAGGGAAAACTGCTGGGAGAGGGGCAAGGACCCCACTAAAGCTATTTCAGACAGAATGGGACAGGAGCAGCCCCAAGTCACCGCAGGGCTGCCCCACAGAAGCATTTCCAGCACTGTCCAAGAGCCAGGGGTGAGCCCGGCAGCCAGGGAAGCTGCAGGAGGGACAGAGGGACGGAGCAGGACAGCAGGGACAGGGACAGGCCCAGCAGTCAGAGCTCCTCAGCTTCCTGGGGCTCCCAGCCACTTCCAGTCCTCGCGGCCTCACTGAGGCCGGACCACGCGAGTTCCTCAGAACTGTGGGGACGCAGGGACACGGGGGTGACCCGTCCTGGGGACACTGCAGCAGCCAGCCACCACGGCAGCACACGCATCCCTGCGGCCCTGCTCTGCTGGGGACACTTAGGTGCCCTTGGGAGGGGTCCACTTCAGGCAGCTGGGATCCATGGTCTTGTTGCTGTTGGACCTCTTGGCCTCCTTGGCGATCCACTCATCGATCAGGTCCTGGGGAGAGCAGGGAGGGCAGCTCAGCATCGGGGGGGTCCTGGTGGGGAATCAGGGATCCTGGGACAGTGCCATGCAGGGGAGGGGGCTCAGCCATTAATGCCTCAAAGGGACGGCAAAGGATCGGCACAGGAACAGCACAGGAACGGCAGAGTTACACCAAAACAAGGCCAAAACAGCACCAGAGTAACACCAAAGCAACACCAGAGTACCAGCAGAGAAACACCAAAATAACAGCAGAGTTATACCAAAACAAGGCCAAAACAGCACCAGAGTAACACCAAAGCAACACCAGAGTAACACCAAAATATCAGCAGAGTTACACCAAAACAAGACCAAAACAAGACCAGAGTAACAGCAGAGTTACACCAAAACAAGACCAAATATCAGCACAGTAACAGCACAGTAACACCAAAGTTACCCCAAAAGAACAATTCCTCCTCCATGCAGCTTTCCAGAAGCCCTTCAATCGCGCTCCAAAGGGCCCCCCCAGGGAAGGGAGAAGGTTTGGGGTTCAAACCCCCCCACCCAGGGATGTGTCAGGGAGGGAACAGGCAGGAGCCATGCAGGGCTCCATCAGGAGGTCAGGGAGGTTTGGGTTGGGTTTTAGGGAAAAGTTCCTCATCCAGAGGGTGGTGGGCACTGGAACAGGGAATGGGCAGGGCCCCCAGGCTGCCAGAGCTCCAGGGGAGTTTGGATAGCCCTCCCAGGGATGCTCAGGGTGGGATTTTGGGGTGTCCTGCAGGGCTCATTCCTGCCCTGCTGAAGAATGAGGTCAGATTCCCACCTCCTGTTTTACTTGGAGATGAGAACGAGCAGGCTGGAGAAGCCAGGGAAGCCCTGACTCCAGCAAGGAAAAGGAGGAGAACCCAAGGAGCCCTGATTCCAGCAAGGGAAAGGAGGAGAACCCAAGGAGCCCTGGTTCCAGCAAGGGAAGGAAGAATGGAGAACCCATGGAAGCCCTGATTCCAGCAAGGAGATGGAGGAATGGAGAATCCATGGAAGCCCTGATTCCAGCAAGGAGATGGAGGAATGGAGAATCCATGGAAGCCCTGATTCCAGCAAGGAGATGGAGGAATGGAGAATCCATGGAAGCCCTGATTCCAGCAAGG